AAAAAAAACAAAACTCGGGCGCAGGTCTCGTATGCACGACCTTTATAGACCAGTCGCCTGGACTAGACTTTTTGCTTTCTCCAATACTTCATATGCACACGAAGTGTAAGGACTAGCAACTCCATTATAAATCTTACAATTTTCAACCATTAGTTTAACGTCGTCCATAAAATCATCGATAGAGTTATAAGCACCGGCAGAATTTTTCTACAAATGAGATGAAATTGGAATCGATAAATACCGTTTTGCAAATGACAAAAAAAGGAAAATATCAACTGACCTTTTCAATAGTTGACAAATCGATGGGATTCTTTATGATATCTTTGTAGTCAGGTGCCAGTTGATCGGTGACGGGTTGATGAAAAGGTTGTGCCTGAAATTTTGATGCCCACGATTAACAATGTGATACATTTTAATGAAAACCAAGGAGATAAATATATGTGTGTACCGATTCCGTTTCCCACAGTTTTTTTAATATTTCCGCGATTACATTAACCAATGAAAAAGTTCGTTTGCGTTTCCTATCGCCTGTAGAATCCACATCGGGAGCATGACGCTTGTGTTTCGAGGATTCACTCGAAGACCTTGAGTTTTTGCTAGATGCTCTTTGTCAAATGGCAACAATTTTAGCCCAACAATTCTAAGCAACCTTCATAATACGCAATCCATACTCACTTTTCGACCGCAGGCTTTGTGATTATCGAAATCTTGTTACCCCCTACCTTAACGATAAGGGACGTATCTTGTGTATTCGCCGAGGAGGTCGATGGTCCAGCTGCAGGACTTGAAGGCACATCCATAACAGAGTTTAGGCCATATCGTGGACATTTCTTATTTGTTTTCATATGACCAGTTTGTCCACAGTTGCCGCAACGTCTCTGGCAACATAAAATTTTGTCAAGCATAAATGCGGAGAAAAAAAAATAATAGTAATAATAAAATTAGGTTTTTTAGTTACCGAAGTTTCTGTCTTTTTATCCTTTAAGAAAGGTGTGGGTGTATTTTCGGCAGTCGCGGCAGCCTTGGCTGCCTCGCGGGCAGTTTTGCGCTGCTGACGCCTTTCTTGATTTCGACGCAACTTCGCCAGTTGATCTTGAATTCTATGTGTAATGCAAGAATGGAGAGTTACAAAGATTCTATCCCGCCCGAGATTGTTTTCAAATGAATGGAGATCGAAAATACCTTTTTTTCAATCTTTTATTCTTTTCTTCATCGTTGGTTGGTTCCAATAGCTCGGCACTAAACAAAGATTACTTGGTAATTATTCAAAGTTGTTAACAGAAATTGAGCGCATACAGAAACTCAAATAACCTCATCGCTTGCTCTTCAATCAATTGTCTATGACGAACATATGCGTTAATCACCGAGGGATCGGTAACAAGCGTCTTTGTCCATAGGGGTTCGCCGCTTTCTGAGCGGACCTGTAAATTAATTCATCGTATTGTTATCACCATTGTTATTACCGCAACTCTAATCAATCAATTATTCACTCACCATTCGATTGATAACTAATGCTCGATTACGATGAGAACCACAATCATAATTGGCCCGTGAACCGACGCTGCCGTCAATAGAGGCCACGTCATCAAAATCCGCAGCAGAAACCGGGGAGGGAGAACGGTCGGGCATAGC